ATTGAGAATATTAAATATAATTATAATAATAATAACAGTGAATTTGTTTCAAACAATATTGTCAATTCAGTTTGGAAATTTTAGCATGTTATATTAGAGGCATTGAATCTAATGTTCTGTTGATATAGCAGCACGGTGAGGCAAAATACCAAATTAACAGTTATAACACAGCTTAAGTGATGTTCACACTTATGAAAAAATTAACAAATAAAAACAATAAATTGAGAGGATTATAAATATAAGAAGTACAATAACAATAACAAGGTTGATGTTGTAAGGATGGAGGAAATGGTTTATTCAGTAGTGCAAAGAAGGTTAATTAGTTAGTTCATGCCTAACACTATTTTCATCACATAAAGTACGTGCCGCCAAATATGGTATAGTGGAATTTTTGTACTTAGACGTACATGCATAAATTCTTCTGAAAAGACTTCTTGTTTTACCTGAGGAGGAGACACAAGGTTGGAGCTGTAGGTGCTGTGGTGGATGCTCAGAGTCTGACAAAATTCATTTAGCGAATTTGTTGCATGACATCAAATGCCTATCAGTGACAATGCCAACGATATGGCCCAATGGGATACCTTTCGTCCTACTAACAGTCTTCAGAGTTTTACGAAGTATGACATAGTCCTTTTTAAGCAATCCAGGAAAGAATAAGGGTGAACAGTAAAGAAGATATGATTATGAGTGGCAATAATGAATTGTGCTCGAAGTGTGTGGTCGCATCAGTTAATATTACTTACTGTATAACACTACACACACACTGTGTGTGACAGTTTATCAAAATTAAATCTTATCCATAATGGAGTAGTTATACTCTACCACCACAGTGCCCAAGTCTTATACTTATATCAAGTCTTTACGGCGAGCAGAATAATGTGAATGACTATGTCAGTTTTACTTTGAGTGCCTTCACTTCCTTTCTGCTCGTTGTAAATCTTGTTCAAAAATCAATGTCATAAGTGTTATTAAATTAAAAAAGTGATGGCAATCTATGATGTAAAGAAGATGGCTGGCTGGGTGAACACAACTTGTAAATATGTGTGCATGGGAGTGCGTGCGTGCGTCGAATGGAATCATTTGAAATTGGAACCAAAATGGATCTACATGGAGGATGTATAAACTTATTACATTTCGGATTTTTCTCCTGTCTGTCTGACTGAGTGTTCCGAATTCTGTCACCTTGATAGTACTACCGTAATTCTTATTTTCTATAATTTGGTTTCTAAGGGTTAGTTATGTTTTATTTTGTTACGCGTTGATCACAGATTGATATCAATTCAAGAACCATTGAAAACCCGCCACAGGGAGTACTGGGCAGCCAGCTGTTTCATCAGCCTAATTTGGGAAACATCGACAGTACGCACCCACCACTGCACCGGGGTTTGAACCCAGGACCTTCCGGTTACAAGGCAAGCTAGCTGGCTGGCTCGTGTACCATTCAGCCACTGGGACACGACCCGATTCAATCGCCGGTGCGGCATGAATTCTAACTTCTACCAATTCGTGATTTAGCGCAACTGGCACCAGCCAGTGTCGTCGGTGGGACATCCATCCATCCTCACACGTGACATCTGGATGGAACTGGTGTTCAGTACTCCCTGTGGCTGGTTTTCAATGGTTCTCTAACTCACTGATATCAATCCGTGATCAACTGGTAAAAGCAACTCTTATTGTTCTCACATGATTCTGTTTTTCCTGTTAGTATATTAGTCAGGGAATTACTAATTAATTCAATTGTAAAACAGTACACTGGTCAGTGAAGTCTGCTAGCTACAACTGTAAAGTGATCAGTCAACAGTATGATCCAGGGATCTGAAACATTCTGTTCAATGTTAGTCAGGAGAAATCAGTGATTTATAAAACACAAAATAATTGGGCAAAGAATATCCTTTTCGATAAATTCCCCTTCCAGGCTCTACAGTTATATATTCATGTTTATATACACAGAATATTCTAGATTAGTAGTCAATAACAATATTAGTGTGCTTTTTAAATAATATCGATTTGCAGAGTAAGATCACAATGGAATCACCACAGTTCATTAAAGATGCTTAAATAATAATAATTATAAAGATATAACAGCGAATAGAATATCAACTTAAATTAGGGAAATTTCACAGAAATTCTGGATTATTCAAACCTGGATGGCCAAGCGGTAATGATAATGACTGAACTAACTTCTTTTGGGTGCATAAATTAGGCTTATTAATATGAATCCCCACAGCCTCAGCAATATTTAGAAGTTGAACTCTTAAAGCGAAATTGAGATTTCTAGGTATGCGGTAAATGACCCTGAAAGCATGATTAACGTCAATCTTGTGTTCTGTCTCCACAAGATGAGCCAGAATAGCGCTGCAGATAGATTTCGTTTGACCTTTGCTTAATTAGGCAGGTTGATGTTCGATAATTCGAAGAGAAACACGCCTAATTGTACGGCCTATGTAACTGACTCCACAGGAGCAGTTAAATTGGTATATACACATGGAAGAGGTGAAATTAGGCAGTTTGTCTTTTATTCCCGAACGAACGCAAAAGAGGAGTGGTTTTAAAGATACAGCGTAATTGAGCAGCATGGAATGCTCTTTTTACCGCCTCATTTCTAAGGCACAGCTGTGTTAGTATCTCACTGGTGTTTTCTCCTAGGAACTGCACCTGTAAGAACAAGGCCTTTTTTGGAACTGTTGGTAACTTGGGCTGTTTTGGTTTCAGATTCAGATTCTTATGAATAAACTTTTTGGGATAACCATTCTCACTTATCAGGAATTGTTTAGGTTTGCATATATATATAGAAGTTAGAGTTCATGGCTAGCCATTGAAGAATCGAGTCCCAGTGAGTGGCTAGCTTTCCTTGTAACCGGAAGGTCCTGGGTTCGAACGGCGGTGCAGTGGTGGGTGCGTACTGTCGATGATTCCCAAACTTGGTTGATGAAACAGCTGGCTGTCCAGTACTTCCTGTGGCTGATTTTAAATGCTTCTCTAAATGATCTGTATCAATCCGTGATCAACTCGTAAAAGACAAAACATAACTAACCCTTACAAACCAAACTATAGAAAATATATATGTAAATAAAATTTGCTTTTGAATATATATAACACTCTTTCTGTCGGTCATATCCCGAAATGTTCAATTGTTTGTGTTAACCATTAGGATTTTCACACACAATCACACACACACTGAGAAACATTCTACAAACTCAGTATGCGACTCCGCCCTGTATATTTCGGCAAGTTAATCTTTCTGTAAATTATATATTCAATCAAGGCAGTCAACATATAGTTTGATGTTGTACACATTACCTATTACTGAAAGTCTTGATATCATTTCCAGTCTACTAGAATCAGATAACACGCTATCACAAAGATATCCACTGGACACCAGTGAAATAATTAAGAGCTTGAAATTCTGTCTAGAAAGTAATTAACATTTTACATTTAAAGGGAGTTTATATAGACAGACAAATGTTGTTGCTTTGGGTTCACCAGTCTCCCCCATAATAGTCGCTGATCTCTTCATGAATAGATTCGAAGATAAAATCTTTTCAAGCATACTCACTCCTAAAATATTGTTAAGATATATAGATGATACTTTTGTAGTGCTAAAACGGGATCTACACAGTTCATTCCTGGAGAAAATGAACAATCTATCTCCCAGAATACAATTCACTTCAGAAGCAGAATCAGACGTCGGTGAACTACGATTTCTAGACTGCCTAGTTAAGAGAAGGGAAAACGGACATTTTAGTATATCCATATTCAGGAAGAAAATCCACTCAAATAAATATTTAGACTTCAAGTCATCACACCCCATCGGCGCAAAGGTATCAGTTGTCTCAAGTCTTCTTAGACGAGCACACTCTCTGATAACCGACGAGAAAGTAAAAGAAGAAGAAATATCAAACATTACTGAAACTCTCAAGCAAAACAACTACCCATGGAACTTCATCAACAAAATCAACACAGGCATTAAGTATGGTCAAAAACGCATTCCGAAAACATGGACATCAACAGTCGTCATTTCGTATAGAGCAGAGACGTCAGACGATATCAGAATAGTACTCAATCAGCTCGATATTAGAGTTTTCTTCAAAACATCAGACAGGCACACTGCAAAACAAACTTGTCCATATGAAAGACCAAATCCTTAAAGATTCTCTATCCAATTGTGTCTATAAAATAAAATAAAATGCTTGGAATGTGATGCGATATAAATCGGACAAACGTCGCCAGAGAGATATCAAAATCAGAAGAAATGAACACCGTAGAGTGAGCATCTGTTCAACCACCGAGAAATCCTGTTGAACTACAAAAACTTGAAAAATTATCAGTCATAGGTCTACGTGCTATAGAATCAGGCCACAAAATTTATTTTGACAATATTGAAATAATCCAGAAAAACTTCAGAAATCACAAAGAACGTCTAATATCAAGTGGAATCCCAATTGTCTGAAATGAATAGGAATAATGGACTGAAACCGAATCTGACCTGGTTGCAACACCTCCCTCCCCCACCAAGTGACAAAATCAACACGAATGTGATATGCAAGTTCACTTTGTAAACACACGCTGCTTTTATAATTTTACACACTTATCAAATCCAACAATCTACACTTGGTTTTGTTATCTTTACCAATTGGCCGATTTGACAACGAAAAATGACCCCAGACAGACGAACGATGATCAATTTAGTAAACTTTATTTTGATATCATAACAGACGTACTATTACCTTTGTTATTTGGTTTAGTGATCTTCATTGCAATTTTACTTTCAATATGTCCCTTTAACTTGACCTATGTCTATTTTCTCACCCCCTAACTGTATGTTATATATATGCTGAGATTTAGTAAATTCCGGTTTAATAATACTTTGATAAAGCTATTAGCAGCATTAAATAGCGAAACGTCAGTAAGAGCAACAACAATATCGTTTTGTTTTTCATTCATTCATTGGGAAATACAAAAACCTTTATTATGATGTTGTACACATTTCATTTACTTACCGTCCTATAATCAATGCTGAAACATATAATTCCATAAATTCTTGAATCTCTTCCAAATTCGTTGCACTAGATTCTGTTGAAGTCAAGTGATAGGCAGAAGAAGATTTCTCCTCGTCTTTTACCGCTGCACTTTTTGATGATGGCAGCTTCATGTGACTTGAAATATTAGCTTGTTTATCTGCAGGGATTGGCAACTCGGATTCTTGTCTATAAATTGGCTGATCACCATTTTCACCATATTCTGAAGCAGAGCTGTTTTCTTCTTCTTCAATGACAGGTGCACCAGGCTGTTGCTGAATAATACGTGTTTCCTCATTCGCTTTCAATGATTGCATACGATCTTTCCCGGAAGATTTTGACTTTCTATGCGGATCATCTGAGTGTTGACTGTCAGTGGACTGTCCCTTTCTCACGGTCTTCATTTGTGCAGAAAGATTGGTTTCATCCAAGCTCATAGCTCTGCTGAGCGCTGCAGTACTTGGCGGAGGGGGTCTCGGCGGCCGAGGTGTATTCTGTGTACTCTGTCGTCTTAATCCACCACCACCACCACTACCACTACCAGCAGTTGATGATGTCTGCATTTCTTTCGATCTTTCCAACTGATCAGCCGGTGAGAATTGGGCTGTTGATTTCTGCGTATATTGCGGTGTATCGAAATCTACCATCTTCGATTTATCGTGGAACGACGACGGTGAATCACTGATTTCTTCCTTCTGTGATACATCTTTACTATCCGAACGGCTAACTGACGTACCACGTACAACCTGTTCCAAAGTACCGACGGAAGCCTGTTTAATAGAATCAAGTTTCCCACTGATATCTAACTTTTGATTTAAATCTGACACCAAGTGGCCAGTTTTTGCATTGACACTTTCAAAAATTTTACTCGGTGATGTAAAAAAGGCATTCATGCCAGTAGAGGACGGTTCACTTCCCTCGGAAGTTGGTGAATCCGTATGGATTTTTTCACTGTCAAAGGATATACGCCGTAGAAAATTTCCAAAACTCATGTTTTTGGCTGTTTTATTATTTTTTTGTCACTTTGAATTTTTAGCGGTAAATATTATCCGATATATGTTTAAATGAGTGAATGAATTATGGGATGTTAGATAAAAACTGATTTGAATTTGAGTAGAGAAATTTTACTGTGTTTGCAAATCGAAATTCTCTTTCTGGGACTAGCCTCACTCAATTCGACTCAGTGGACTTGTTTAAAAAAAATGAATTGACCAATCAAAATGAAGCTTGTTGTTCAAGGTCATTATTTTACCTCAACTTGACCAAAAATCAATAATTTACCAGTGGCATAACAAATTTTTAAAACTAGATTTAAGCGACTCAAGCGGAAGACATAGAGGGACATACATATACACCGGGGGTGGGAGAGAGCAAGAGATAAGAGAGAGTAAGTAAGTAACTGAGAGAGAGATAAGGAATAATAAAAATTTCTCTCCTTGTCTTGTCTAATCGATAAAAAACAGATACAGGCTATGGGGAGGGATGAAAGTATTTTTCCTCAATTTTTTTTCTTCTGTTTGTTTTTGTTTATTTCATCCACGGAAAATTTCTAAAGACTTGAAAGATCGAGTTGATAGGCTTAAAAAGAATGGATGGATACTGAACAAAAAAGAATAAATACTCTTTGCGCGATAACCCCTTCATCATCATCATCATCATCATCATCATCATCATCATCATCATCATCATCATCATCAGGCTCTACAGTTCTATATCCATCCATTATAGTGAATGAAGGAAGGAATGAATGAATTAGTGTTATGAACAAAAACATTAATGTTGCTGTCTAAATATTATCGAATCAATAATAATAATAATTTGCTTTATTCCAGAAACAATACTAGTGGTACAGTGTGGAATTTTCAGCACATATCTACAATATTTGCATCTAATTTTATCAAACATTTAAAAGGAGTATTTCAAAAAATAAATAAATATAAAGACACCAACAGCAAAAAAACAAACACAAAAACACAAAAATAATTTTTTTTAAATGCAAAAAAATACGAAGAAGTAGAAGGGAAAATAAACCGCACATAATAAAATCTCAGTATTGGGTAGTGGAAGCTGTGATATGATTATGCATGGTGACAGTAAAGCTGTAGTCATACAAGAAGTTATGAAATGATATTTAAGAATGTTTATCGCCAAGATGATCAGTTAATTTGGTTGAAGTAACTCTAAACAATCATGAAGCAACATTTCAGGGTTGTTGTTTTGTTTTTTATTGTCAGGTCTAATGCGGCGTTTGTAGTGGTAGTGTGAGTAATCCTGCATGATAGAAAATTTTAAGATGGTGATAATAATGGCGTTCACAACCAGTGATTGTCAGTTAATATTGCCGAACAAAAAAAACAACAACAGCAACCACAAAAACGAATAATTACATGATGGTTAATGACAGGACAATTTTGTACTACTCATAGTGTTAATGTAGTCGAAACCAGTACATACACGAAGAAGAAACACAGTAAAGTACAAAAGTAAGCCAATGTTAATAATTTAGGTAGCTAAGTATGTTTAAGAAGGAGTTCACTATAGAATACAAAATAAGAGAGAAATAAAAGAGCCTAAAATTATGTCATTAACAACAAAGCAAGTCATAAGTTTCACGCTTAACATTGTCTCTGTCGCTTAGAACACGGGCCAAGTATGGTATCGTTGAGTTCCTGTACTTGGTTGTACGAGCATAGATTATTTTATACTGATTTCTGGTCCTACTTGATGAGATACAAGGCGAGAGTTGGGAATAGAGGGGGTGTTGTGGGTCGTAGAGTATGGTTTTTGACCATTTTTCGCATGTATTTAGATGCCTATCAACTAAAGTAGTGACGAGCTGACTTAGTTTTACAACACTAGTCCTACTGACTACCTTCAACATCCCTCTCAGGATGGTATAGTCCTTTTTCAGTAGCCGAGGAAAGACTAACGGGGAGCAGTAAAGTAGAATAGGTAAGATACGAGAGTTGACAAATTGTGAAAGTAGAGGTTGGGTGATTCCAGATTGTCTAAGTTTCTTAATGTAGTAGGTTAGACGGAACACTTTCTTAGAAATCGTTAGGATATGAGATGATCAAGTAAGGTCGGAAGATAGAACTAGACCGAGGTATTTTGCATTAGACTTAATAATAATAATACCAGTGGATTACAGTTCAATAGCATCAACATAACAATACACACTGAATGTCAGTTGAATTAGGAAAGATAATATTACAAATTCATGAATTTATAGTCTCTACTGAAGGCCAGTCAGGGCAGTAGTAGGGGCTGGTTGTTTGAGGTGAATTGCAATAGCCTCTGGTGTTTGGAGCATTCGGTGCTTCAATGGTGATTTTGTCAATTTATATGGTACCCACTACGGGAGATGATGACAGAGAACGATTCTTCCACACTGGCTGGCTGGCTGACCTTGTGTCCGGCCGGTATGCACCAGATGGTCCAATATCGAACTGTTGATGATGGTTTTCACTACACACCTTTACTTAGCCACAGTGAGAGATCTTCTCGAGCGAGTGAGCACGAAAAATCAAGTTCCTAGAGCAACAACGGCCAATATAACTCGCTCCGCCAGCACAAGCACAGTTGCAGTTGAATTGGTAGATACAATTTCAAGTGGCCAGCTAGTCTAGATACTTCATCTTTCAGTCGAGGTAGCACCATCGGTTGTGTAGATAACAAGACGTGTATTTCGCCACCAGCATTAAAAGTTCTTTGAATTGATTTTCTTAATTTCTTCGTAATTATCTCGCTTGGTATTTCGATCGCCCTTGAAGTGTAGTCGTATACAAGGTGGCTTCTTGTTCACGGACGGATACTGAGTAGTTCTTTTCCGCCGCTTTCTTTGTCATGTGTTTCTTGATAGCTATTTGTCGGGATAGCTATTTCCGATCAATCAAAGTATCATATACAATGCTTAATTCATCTTCAATTACTTCTTCTGAACATTTAGCTCTAACTAACTCTGTGGCCGAGTGAGGGTCTTCACTAAATTTCTTTTGTACTTGAAATAAACAAAGCTGTTTTTATTTAGGGGACGCTTGATACAGAGTTGCCAGGCTCATGCGGTTACATAATTAATATTTTAGAGGCTGACGGTATTGACGTTCGTGGATTGTGTGAAGTATACTAACGCAAGATCTAATACCGACAACTTCTATAGTATTCGTTCCGTTCTGTATGCGGACCAAAGGCAAAACAAAACACCACAATTAATCGTCCACATTACGAGATATATCTTACGGGAGCAAATTGGAGTGCGAGCTGATTGCTTAGCCAGCTAGTGATCGTGCACGAACGTGACACGACGGAGTACCAGATGTCATGGATGCTTGACCGGAAGCCTTCAGGTAAACAAGGTGACTTAAACAGTGAGCGTCAGCATCCAATTTTTAGTGATGAATGCCAATGTGGTCAATAATTTTGTGGGGAATTATTTACTACTACAATATCTTATTTCGATATTTAGCAGTGAATGAATAATTGATAAGATTTTATGAAGTATGTACTTGGACGGCTTCAGAGTTGCTGCCAATCGATGCCGGTAAATGATGTTTCACTGTCACCTGTCGGTTTCAGATTTTGATATTGTAACGTCAGAAGATAAGGACGGACTGGTAACGAACCTTTTATTTCCTTAAGGAAAAAAAAGGCATCATATTTACACATTTGTAGTCACACAGTAAAATCCGTCTAGGTAAGAGAAGAAACTTGTTCTCACTGACTGGTGATCGGCTCAAATTTAAACAACATGACGAAGAGTCGTCCAAAAGAGGCTGTTTCATGTCCGGATTTGTGGAATAAACGCTTCTGATTTCTCACAAACTGGAAGATGTGCTAGCGAAAAGCAACAAGTTGGCAGAAGAAGCATCCACAGAAGATAGGACTTCCTTCAGGTGAACATAGAGAAAACAGAGGTAATGGAGATTCCTGAACAAGAAGTTATACAGCAATATTTACTGATGACGTTTCGAGCACAAACTATTGCTCATAATCATATCAAGTTACTCACACAACTTCTTTCCTTCATTTATATACATGTGTGGAATCGACTAGACATTGGATTAAAATTCAATATGACATAATGTACACTCAGAAATAACAGTACGAGTGTTATTAATCCATTGCAATTAGATGGGAAATACGACGAATCTCAGAAGGGACATCAGTTCCTTCAAGGTTGCAGATACGCCTTGCTGATGAGTGCCAACTAGCACGAAACCTAGGTCCAAGGCTTCCTGCCGATTGCCTCCAACCATCTAATACCAACAATTCACAGTGCACCGTAATGGCGAGCCACCTAGCATGGTGGCCACATTGCAAACATGACTGATAGAATTCAGTCTGCACCGAAGATAGGACTAGACGCATTACACTAGTGACTGACTAGTGTGCAATCAAAAATATCCAATACAGTCCTACAGGAGGTCAGTCGCGAGCCTGAATAGCTCAGTGGTAACGTCTCTGACTGCAGCACTGGGTGACGCGGGTTCGAATCTCAGAAGGGACATCAGTTCCTTCAAGGTTGCAGATACGCCTTGCTGATGAGTGCCAACTAGCACGAAACCTAGGTCCAAGGCTTCCTGCCGATTGCCTCCAACCATCTAATACCAACAATTCACAGTGCACCGTAATGGCGAGCCACCTAGCATGGTGGCCACATTGCAAACATGACTGATAGAATTCAGTCTGCACCGAAGATAGGACTAGACGCATTACACTAGTGACTGACTAGTGTGCAATCAAAAATATCCAATACAGTCCTACAGGAGGTCAGTCGCGAGCCTGAATAGCTCAGTGGTAACGTCTCTGACTGCAGCACTGGGTGACGCGGGTTCGAATCTCAGAAGGGACATCAGTTCCTTCAAGGTTGCAGATACGCCTTGCTGATGAGTGCCAACTAGCACGAAACCTAGGTCCAAGGCTTCCTGCCGATTGCCTCCAACCATCTAATACCAACAATTCACAGTGCACCGTAATGGCGAGCCACCTAGCATGGTGGCCACATTGCAAACATGACTGATAGAATTCAGTCTGCACCGAAGATAGGACTAGACGCATTACACTAGTGACTGACTAGTGTGCAATCAAAAATACGACGAGTGTTTTTATAGTCATAATAAGTTGATTGTTAGAATGTGTTTGAATGGAAATAGATTATTTATTATCCTTTT